TCTGCCCTGGTCCCTGCACGCCGTGTCAGCCCCGACCCGCAGGACGGGCGGGCTCGGTGCCGAGCAGGAATAAGCGGCCGCCGCCGTCTCCAGCGTCATGTAGGAGCGGGCAGTGGGCAGCTGCTTGTACCGGGGCACGTCAGCCCGGGACAGGGGGTTTCTGAAGGCGGCCGATGCTGCACGGCACAGGTGGCGGGTGAGGGTCCCCAGTGTCCCCTGCCACAGGGGGGACGGGCCGGGGCAGCGAGTGCTCACCGTTGGCAAAGGCCACCGCCAGCCAAACGGCGTCCGCGGCATCGGCGTGGCCGTCGAAGACGCAGCGGGGTCTCTCCAGAGCGAAGGTGGTGGCGGTGACCTTGCCCAGCAGCGCCGTGGGGGGCAGGTGGGGCACGTAGGGCAGGCGGGCTGGGGGATTGAGCCACGGGACCCCCCGGTTCTGCACCGCTCAGCAGCTTAGCCTGACCCCAGCCCGCACCCACGGCAGTGCTGGCACAGGGGGGTGGCACGAGGTGCCAGCACGAGGGGGACAGCACTGCTGTGGGGACCCCCCGGCCGTGCCCAGCCCCATTAACCCCTCCCTGGCACAAATTCCTCGCAACCCCTCCAGATCCCGGTCCCCCTCTGCCCTGTCCCCAAGGGAGTCACCCAGGTCCGCGGCTGCGCCCATCCCAGCCAGCGCCAGCAGCACCCACGGCAGCTCCATGGCGTCGTCCCGGTGGTGCTGGACGTGCAGCCCTGCTCGGCTCACCCCGTCCCACTGCCGAGGGGACGAACTGCCCCCAGTGCCCCCGCAGCAGGGACCGCCTGTCCCGGAGCCGGACCCTCCCAGCCCCGCATTCCTGCACCGGCTCTGCCGGCCCGGCCAGACCCCGCGGGCAGAGGGGACACTGAGCATCCCAAACCCGCTGGAACCCTCCTGCAGGACCCCCGAGGCACCTGCGAGGAGTCAAGGCACAAGAGAGTCATGTGAAAGGGGAAACTGAGGCAGAGGAGGCACCGGGGCCATGTTCCAGGATGGGCTGGCAGGGCTCAGTCTTTGTTGGCGCTATGGGGGCAGCCGGGCAAATCGTCCTGGACCCCACTCGCCCCACCAAGACCCAAGTCCCTGCGGATTCCTTGTGCCCACCAGGCCCCCGGAGCCAGGGGTGAGCCCGTGCCCGACTGGTTGGGGTGCAGCCAGCCCTGCCCCGCGGGCAGGGAAGCGCTGCGGAGCATCACACCCGAATTAACCCAAATCCCGGCATTCAGATGAACGCTCCCACCCAGCACCAGGAGCGCGCAAGCATTTTTCAGCTCTGGGGCCACCCCACGCTGACATTTCCCAATCTCTCGTACCCTTTCCAAGCCCTGGGGATGGGGGCAGGGATGTCGCCCTGGAGCGGGAGCCCCTCACCGCCGCTCCCCCCGCACAGGGCTGGGAGCGCTCCTTCTCCCGTCTTTGCCAAGGGGAGCGGCTGCTGCCCCCTCCTGCGTGGGAGGAGATTTCCCCCCCCTTCCCAAAGGGCTGGACCGCGCCTTCAGATTAAATGGAAATGGGGCATTCAAAGATTACACTGTCCAGCTGCAGAGGGGAAAAACTGGCGCAGCTGCAGCCTCCGTCCCTCCTCCTCCTCCTCATCCCCCGCACCTATCCAGCAACACTCGGCTCAGGGACCCCCCCAGTTCCCCCAGACCCCTTCCTGGTGCTCCCCGGCCGGCAAGGTGCCAGCAGCAAGGTGAGGGCAGTGTGGGTGACGCAGGGGGGTGACGCAGGGGGACAGTGAGTCACAGTTTCAGCTGCCGGTACCCAGCATAGCTGCGGGGTCAAGGCTGGGCTAATAATAACCACCCTGTGGCAGATGAGCCATCAGCACAGGGGCTGGGAGAGACATCCCCCTGTCCCCTCCCTAGGCCTCCAGCTGAGAGCACACAAGGCTTTTGGTCAGATGTGCCTGGGAGCATCATAAGCGTTTATTTGGGGCTCTGTCCCCTCCTGGCTCTGAGAGGCACCATGGTTATGCTTTCATCCCACCTTTCAAAGGGTGAAAATCCCTATAGCACCGTGCCTGAGCACCTGGCTCTGCTCCTTTCCACCCCTTGTATCCCCCTGCCACAGGGGCTAGGCCACCTTGGGTCCAGCACAGAGAGGACAAGGATTTTAGGAGATGCCTCATGCCCAAAAACTGCACAGTCAGGGATGAGCTGCTGAGCTCGGCTGGCTCACCACAGCCCAGTGCCCCTGCCCTGGACCAGCCCAGATGCAGGGAGGCTCCAGCTGATTCACACTCAGCAGCAGCTGCTGGAGATGCCTTGGGCCAGGCTCAGCAGGAAATTCTTGCTCTATGCAGGGCTGCTTCAATTTTCGCTTCAATTCACTGCTTTGATTGCTGGGATAACATGATCCAGGGACACAAAGCTGAGGTTTGAACTCAAGACCTCTCCCTGTTGCAAGCAGGGTGGGAGAGGAGCAGACAGAGCCCATTGTGTAGAGATTAGCAACACGGACACGTCACTGCAGCTCCCAAGGAGCTGCCATTCCTGCAGCATGCCCAGAGTTCACTGGATGTTTGAGGGGGCTCCCCTCAGAGCCTGCAGACACACACTGGGGATAGATCCACCCCTCAATGGCTCAGAGAAACCTTTAGTTTTTATATTGGCATGACAGGAAGCAAAGTACCCCTCAGCTGGTCCAGGAGGAGGTGGAGGTAGCGATGCCACAAAGCTCAGCCCCACCCCAGATTTCTCAGGAAGGAGGTGCAATGGCAGATGGCACCAGTGCCAAAGGGATGGATTGGATGGATTTAATGTGCAGCTGGATGTGCTGGCTACAGGGAGGGGAAGAGCTCTTCAAAGATAACAGCTCCCATGTGACAAGTAGCCTGGGGACAATGTGCAGCAAGGCCACCAGGACAATATCCCTTTGCAAGGTGCCAGCACCTGCAGCAGGAACAGGCTCCCCGCCAGAGCATCGCTGCTGGCACCTGAGCTGGCCACCACTGCTGCTGGGAGGTGACTGTCACCAGCTGGTGGCACCAGCAGCCCTGCAGCAGCAGCAGCACAAAGCACAGCAGCTCCTCCCCGCACAAGCTTCACTGAATTGCTGCCATTTCACCTGAGAGAAGGGGAGACAGGGACAGGTTCTGCCTCTCATCTTTGGGATGGGAGAGTGGGGCTGGCAGCCCACAGCCAAGAGCAGGGGGATGCAGTTTCCCACAGGGTGGACACTGGTAAGTCACCTCTGCTGGCACCATGGCCAGAGACCACCAAACTCCAGTGGCCAAAGCACTGACAGGCTGGAACCATGACCCCTGGGACCACTGAGATGTGTGTTCCTGCAGCAGAGCTGAGCTCCCCCTCCTCCCTCCTGGCTGGATTGATTGTTTGTGGCTCCACAGAACAGGCTGGTTCCCCAGAGAGCCACCCCAAGCCCCGAGGCAGCAGGAAGGCAGAGCAGGGTCTTGCTGTGAGAATGAAGAGTTTATTTGAACAGAGCAGAGATACACGGCAGGAGGGAGGCAAGAAGTGCCTCAGACAGGGAGCTGATGTGTCCCAAAAGGAGGACCCTGCTTGACTTCCACGTGGTTTATTAGAAGCAAGGCACTCCTCTCCCATCCTGTCCTCAGGCATTACCAAAGGAAGGTCCTGCCTTCCCCAGGACATCTGTCACCTCAGTCCCATCCCAGCTGCTCCTGGCTGCAGCCACCAATCCCACCCAGAGACACAAGCACAGCTTCTACAAAAATATCCTTCCCTCC